AAGGGGGAGGGGGTAGAAGAACGGGGATTATAGAGGAAGACTTAGGGAGGTATACATGGGCTAAATGAGATAGAGGTAGATGGTGATGTATGCACAGCCTTGGAACAACAGGACTTTATGATATAGGGATGGAGACATAGTCTGAATTGGTAAAGGAGAGGAAATAATGTTAAGGTGCTTGAATGTTTTGTGGCTATTGGGTTCTCCTGTCTACTAGTGTAATATATAAATTAAGCAGTATAGAAAAGAATATTGGGAAAGATGATTACAGAAAGCTTGTAGACTGTCTTCAGCTTGTAACTGATTGGATTATCTAAAAGGGGACTAGAATGTACCCAGGGAAACAGGGATCTTGTTAAACCTTTGTGGAGTATGGGGCTTTAGGTAGAATCTTGAGCCCCACATGGAACCTTTGGAGGTGAGACAGTCACCAATTGAAAAGATGCAGATCAACCCAGAATAGTTAGAGGAACAGAAGATACTTCTTGAAAGAAAGACTGATAAAAGTAGAGGGATGGGGTAGGGTTGTGGGAGGGGGTGCAGGGGAAGCAGATTCTTTGGCTGTGATAATAATATAAAGCCATCAAGGCAAGAAAAGTCAGTCCATCAGGGCAAACCCCTTTCTAACACTGAAACTCAAAGGGAACACACAGCCTTGTATGCTCACTGGTGACCACCAGAGTCAACTTGTGAGTGGAAGTGGGGCAATGCAGCAAAGAAGACATGTGCTGAGATTGGCCAGGTACCAAATACATGTGATGACCTTGAGTTTAGAGAGACAAGAGGATGGGCTGGCTGGTTTGAAGTTCAGGGAGATGTGTGAACTCCTGAGCCCAAGGAAACTGACCTAGCCACTGGAGACTAGAGTTAAAAGTGAAGTGGACAGCTGGACTGACGATAGGGGAGACATGGGAGAATTTCCAAACTTACAGACACTACCCATTTGACCTAGCTTGGATGACTTGCCAACCAGAATTCCAACAGATGAAGATAAAGAAGCATGATACAGGGAGCAAGCATAAATTGCTACAACCCTTATCAACTGTATCTTTGCTTATGGATGAAGATGCACCAAATACCAACCAAATAAGGAATGATTCTTCATATCAGTGATCAAGCATGTTTCGTCAAAACACTGTGTTGATAAGGACAAGCAACTTGGACTTCGGCTATCAAAATTATGGAGCTCTAAAGGCATGATGTGGCAGACTAATAAGCTTTCATGAGGGTGCTTAGTGTCAGAACAAGGGGAGTAAGATAGACACCCAACTGCATAGTTCTCCTCCTGTCCTGATGGGCCTGGTATGAGGGGGAGAGGATTTTATGATTCAATAGCAAGTAATTGTTATCAAGTCTGATTAATGGCCATTTGCACAACAGTAAGTGTGGAAATGGTGCAACTAAAAGAGGGGAGCAGTTAATCTGTCATTCTAGGAACAGAGAAGCCTAGAACCATCAAGAGGGAAGAGCATGAAAGGAGTGAGGGATCCTAATAAGAAAAAGTGGCACAACAGAAATGGTGACAGAGGCGATGGCATAGAGAGACAGAACAGCAGAGGACTATAGGCCATGGACTGAGAAAGGCAGTGTGCCTGAGGACAGGAGGCTGGTATGTGTACACCCCCCAAAAATGGTAATAGGGATAAATACTGTTAGCTGAAGGTGCATGGAGGGGATTGTAATCATAGCAATGATTTGTTGACTATAAAACTGATGATCTACCCTGTAAAATCTTCATTCACGAAATTCACAATAAAACCATTTTTTAAAAATGATGAGTTGAAATCTAATCTCCCATCTATTGTTGTTAGGTGCTGTTGAGTCAGTTCTGACTCATCGTGACCCTATGCACAACAGAACGGAAGAATACCCAGTCCTGTGCCATTCTTGCCATTGTAGCTAGGCTTGAGCCCATTGCTCTTGTCACCGTGACAATCCATCTCATTGCCGTCTTCCCCTTTTTGCTGATCCTCCATGTTACCAAACATGATGCCATTCTTCATGGAATGACCCTTCCTGAAAACATGTCCAAAATATAAGACACAAAGTCTGGCCATCCTGACTTCCAAACAGCATTCTGGCTGTACATCTTCCAACACAGATTTGTTTTCTCTTCTTCTGGCACTCCATGATATTCTCCAACATCATAATTCAAATGCATCAATTTGCCTATTATTCACTGACCAACTTTTTCATGTGTATCTAATATTGAAAATATCATGACTTGGACCAGTCATACTTTAGTCATCAAACTGGTATCTTTGCTCTTGAACACATTAAAGAGGTCTTGTTCAACAGATTTACCCAATGAAATACATCATTTGATGTCTTCACTGATGCTTCTATGAATGTTGATTATGGATCCAAGCAAAATTAAGTCTTTGACAATTTCAACCTTTTCTTCATTTAGCAGGATGTTATTTATTGGCCCAAAAGTGAGGATTTTTGTTTGCTTTACATTGTGGTACAACCCATACTAAAGGCTGTGGTATTTAATCTTCATCAGTAAGTATTTAATTTTCTTTGCTTTCATTAAACAATGTTGTATCATCTGTATATCACATTTTGTTAATGAGTTTTCTTCCAATCCTGATGTCACTTTCTTCTTCATATAATCCTTTGCCCAGTACACAGATTGAATAAGTAAGGCAAAAGAATACAACCTTGGCCACATTTTTCCTTAATTTAAATAATTCATTGCACCTTGGTTCTGTTTGAATGATGGCCTCATGGTCTGTGTACAGCTTCCTCGTGAGCACAATTACGTCTTCTGGAACACTCATTCTCCACAGTGTTGTCCATTGCTTGCCATGATCCATGTAGTCAGTAACCTTTGTTTGTCAAGAAAGTACAGGTAAATATCTTCCTGGAAATCTCTGCTTTCAGCCAAGATCCATCTAACATCACCAAATGATATCCATCATTCCACATCCTTATCTGAATCTAGTTTGAACCTCTGTCATTTTTCTGTCCATGTACTGTTGCAACTGTTTTTCAATGATCTTTAGTAAAAATTAACTTGCATGTGATATTAATCATATTGTTCCATGATTTTCACATTCCATTTGGTCACTTCTTTTTGGATTGGGCACAAATATGGATCTCTTTCAATTGGTTGGCCAGGTAGCGATCTTCCAGATTTCTTGGCATAGACTAGTGAGTGCCTCTATTGCTGTATCAGTTCATTGAAAGATTTCAATTTGTATTCCATCAATTCCTGGAGCCTTGATTTTTGCCATTGTCTTACATTTTCTTGAGATGCTTTCTGTATCATTCAATATTTCACCCATAGAATTCTTCAGTATTGCAAGTTAAAGCTTGAATTTTTTTCTGCAATTCTTTCAGCTTGAGAAATATTGAGCATGTCCTTCCCTTTTGGTTCTTTAACACCAGCTCTTTTAATATTACATTATAATTCCTGAGCTGCCCTTTGAAATTTTCTATCCTGCTCTTTTTCTTCCTCATTTCTTCCATTTGCTTTAGAATCTCATCACTGGAGATTAAATTTCAGAGTCTCTTCTAACATCCATTTTGGTCTTGCCTTTTTCCCCTGTCTTCTTAGTGACCTTTTGCTTTCTTCATGGATGATTATTTTGATGTCATTCGTAGCTCTTCTGGTCTTTGGTCATTGGAATCTAATGCATTAAACTATTCTTTAGATGGTCTCTTAATTCAGGAGTCCTGGTGTGTCATGGTAAGATAAGCACTGGACCTTAAGGTCGATTTGAACTGCAAGACTGGAGGTTCAAACCCACCAATTGTTCCTCAGAAACTGAATACAGGGTTGCTATGTGTTGGAACGAACTCGATGGCACTTAACAACAACAAAAAAATTCAGGTGGGATTTGTTCAAGTCATATTTTGACTCTAGTGGTCTTGTTTCAATTTTCTTCAGATTCAGCCTGAACTGGTGGTCTGTTTCAGTCTCCCCTTGCCCTTGTTTAACTTATGATACTGAGCTTTTCCACTGACTCCACAGATATAGTCAATTTGGCTTCTGTGTATTTTATCTGATTATGTCCATTTGTGTAATTGTGCTTTATGGGTTTTGTTGTTGTTGTTGTTGTATTTAAATATTACCCTTGTTTTTAATATAGTTGCATTGTTAATTTACATAATAATGGTTGTGTTTACAATTGGCTTGCAACAAAATGTCTTGAAATGTGCTAACTGGCTCTTGTGAGCTAGTATAAGCCAGCTCTAGCATACACTGACCCCAAGCCCAAGGAGAGCTCAGGGCTACGGTGTCCATTTCCTCATGATACTTGTCAAAGGGAGATAGACTTGGAGGTACTGCTGGTTTATTGTTGATTATTATTAAATGGCTTTTTGGAATCTTTGGGAAGAAGCAGGAGGAGGAATCTTTGTTGAGACAGAATGCACTAGAGGAATCGCTGTTCTTCTGTTCATTTACATTCAGCCAGACCCTGGTCTTCCTTCTCTCCAATCTGTATATTACATGGAGGCCCAGAAATTGAGAGAATTACTCAAAAAACAAGAAAGGGGAAAAAGGAAAGGAGAAGACCCGAATCAACAAGGAGGGGCTGGCTTTCATGCAAAGGGGCAGGGCCTGGCCCAGCCCTGGAAGACAGACTGACCAGAGCTGAGGTACACAGGTAAGCCTCTGCCTCTCAGGCCTCAACTCAAGCAAAGCAGACATAGCAGAGTGGAGCAGATGCCTTTATTGGTCTGACCAGCATGGTACCAATGATGGGCTCAGGCAGAGCTTCCCTGGCTGTCCTGGCTCCTGCCTTCCCTTCCCTTCCCTGGGAGTTCATGCCACACCCATGGAAGACAGGCATGTCCTGCAGGAGTGACAGACAGAGCCAGGATAGGAAATAACGGTGCTGGGATCTGCAAGGGACTCAGGGTAATGTAGAAAATGTGGGTTAGTGAGGCCACCCAGTAAAATGTTCAGCAGAGCAGAGGCTTCCCTTGCCCAGGGCCCCACCCCCACCAGGAATGAGGGTCTCAGAGGGATAGCCTTCCTTGATGGCCCCCTACTGGGCCCTTCTTGCCATCAACATCTCCGGAATGTTGTCCTCAGCTTCCTTGACACTCCGCTCAAGGTAGGATTTTTTCTGTTCCAATTCTTCAATTTTTTCTTCTGCTATTTTCTGTTTCTCTAGTAGCTGGTTATGAATTACCTCCTTGGACTGAAGAATAAACATTCTTCCTACACCTTCATGCATGTTAGTCTCATCTACCAAAGTCATAATCTCTGTAATATGTGCATGCTTTTTCATTCTGTTTAGCTTTAGCTGTTCATTCTGTATGTCTGCAAGCTTCACCTTCTGTTGAGTGTCAGTAACTTTGGCTTGAAGCTCTGTAAAGGCCTTCTTCAACTCCAGATCCATGGGGCTGCCATCTTGGTTTGCTCTTTGCACCTGCGCTGCTTTATGGTGTTGTTGTTTTTTTTTAAAAAAAGGTATTAACAATGAATAAATTTTTGGTCTTGCAAAATTCTATCATGTAATCTCCATATTTTCTAATTACTAATCCTTCCTCTTTGTTTCCAATCTTTGTATTCCAACCACCAGTAATTATCAATACATCTTGATTATATATTTGATAAATTTCAGAGTGAATATGTTGGTTGTTGTTGTTGAGTGCTGTTGAGTTGGTTCCGACCCATAGAGATCCTGCATCAGTTTTCAAATCAACTTTGAAGTTCAGTGCACTAACACACAGTACCACACCAGGACTTTGAAGAAGTTGATAGCATTCTTCAATCTCATTATCACTGGCTTTAGTTGTTCATGTATAAATTTGAATAATATTGGTAGTAAGTAGTCTTCCTTCTAGGTTTATTGATATTATCCTATCATAGAAAGCATTGTACTTCAAGATGGATCTTGAAATATTCTTTTGACTATGACTGTAACACCATTCCTCTGGAATTTGTTATTCACAGCATATTTAACCATATGATTGTCATATTCAAAATGGTCAATACCAGTCCATTTCAGTTTACTAATGCCTGGGATATTTACCTTTAAGCTTTGCATTTGTTTTTGACAACTTCCAATCATCCCATATTCAGATTTTGTGCATTTCAATTTTTATTATTAATGGATGTTTGTAGATATTACTCCCCATTTTGAGTTGTTCCCAATCAGCAAATGAAAGTCTTAAGTCTTAAGTCACATCACATTCATTATGATCAGCTCTACTTTGAGGAGGCAATTTTCCCCCAGTCATTTTCTTGAATGCCTTTCAACGTGAGATACTCATCTTCTGGCATTATATCTGACTGTATTCTACTGCTATTTATAATGTTTTCATTTTCTGGTACTACATCTTACAATACACTGTGATTATTCATAAAGTTTTCTGTGGCTAAACATTCAGAAGTAATCTGCCTCTCCTCCTTCCTTGTCCTTCTTAGTCTCTGAAAGCTGTCCCTCATGAATGACACTGCTGATATTTAAAATACCACTGACACAGCTTCCAGCATCAGAGTAACATGAAGGCCACTACAGTATTACAAATTGACACTTCAGTGGTTTGGATATATACATTCTTTCCCCCAAATCTATCTAAAAATATCCATTGGTAATTCCTAGAACCAGGCTATATCTTTTTCTCATTTTCATCAAATTAAAAAAAAAAAAAAATGCTAACAAACCTAGATGTGGGTTTGAAATCCATTAATTAAGTTTTAAGACAAACCAGAAAAAAAAAAAAAAAAAGGAAATATAGGGGTATAACAAGAGCATTTCTAAGAAACTAACAGGAGTTTCTCATTATCAATACAGCTTAATATCAATTCTTAGTAACAAAAAAACAAACAAACAAAAAAATGTTCTCCAGAAACAAATTGCTAGACATATGTTAAACACTTGAAAGATCTGTGTTATCCACATTTAGATATTTTGTTTTTTCAATGGAATGTAATTATCTTTGATAAAGACAATGACCTTGATCTTGCTATACCTAGGAAGCTAATAATAATAAGGGATAATAATAAAAATAAGGGGTAATAATTGGATCCAAAAATGACTTCCTAGGAGTAAAATTAGCATATTCGATAGCACTAAAATATGAACATTGGGCATTGGTGATTCAGTGGTCGCATTTCTCAAATGGATGTGTGGAAGATCTGGGTCTGATTTTAACCAATGCATTTCATTGCCTCCATCACACATCCGTCTAGGGAAGCTTCCATATTTCTGTAATCATGACTATATTTAACAAAGCTCCCATGCAAAGATAGCCTACAAAGAAAGGTCTAGTTATTTATGTCTGAAAATCAGCCTGTGAAAGCCACAAGTGTTTGAGTCACAACTGTTTGATCCATACCTGATCATGGGACTGATACAGGGTCAGGCATTGTTTCATTTCATTTCATTGAGAAGAGTGTCACTGTGAGTTGGGCTCTAACTCACTGAAATTAACAACAATAGCAAAAAACTATAAATAACAGTAGCATTTAATAAGCATTTCAAGCTTAAGCAAAGTATTTCATTTAATCTGTACTCTGACTTCCATAGCAGTTTTATAATTTGGTGTCATTTTTAATATAATTTGCCCTTTATGTTTTACACTGAATGTGATATAAAAACTTAATATATAACCAATATTCTGAGCAAAAAATTGAAAACCCATAAGCTGTTGATTCTTTTAGTGAGGCGCTATAGACACATAAAGTGAACACATATGTGGAATGGAGCAGTAACATTGTAATCACTAATTATAACCATTAATGCTTCTATAAAAGTTAATTTATCTGATTAGATGATATTTGGAACCAAGAAACTATGAAATAAACAACTTGCTACTCCCCTTCAACTATATATATATAGTTGGTGGTTTTGTGCCACGGAGTCAGCTCTGACTCACAGTGACCCTGCATAACGTTCCCAAGGTTGTAAATATTTACAGGAACAGAAAGCCTCATCTTTCTTCCACAGTATGGCTGCACTGCCTGGGCTCCATATATGTATGGGAGCATGGTGGCTCCATAGGATAAGCAGGAATGTGAACCACAAGGTCCACGGATAGAAGCCACCAGATGCTCTGTGAAAAAAAAATGAGACTTTCCGTTCCCTTGAAGACTTAAAGCCTTGGGTCCCTATGTTGGGTCCATATGAGTTGCAACCGACTCTACTGTTTAACAACAACAATAACTCAGTATAAGTTTTCCAAGTAGCGACTGGTGCTTTTGAACCACCAACCTTGTGGTTCAAACCGACTTTGTAGTCCAGTGAATTAACCCACAGTACCACAACAGGAGTCCACATCTATATACACACACACACACACACACACATATGTTGCTGTGAAGTGCTGTTGAGTTGGTATATCTGGTGAGATTGAATCACCAACCTTGTAATTCAAGGTAACTTTGCAGTCCTGCACATTAAACCACAGCACCACACCAGAATTCCATAGTATATATGTTGTTGTTAAGTACCGTGGAGTCGGTTCCGACTCATAGTGACCCTGGCACAGGGTTTCTGAGGCTGTAAATCTTTACAGGAGCAGAACGAATGCCTTATCTTTCTCTGGTAGAACAGCTGGTAGTTTCGAACTGCCGACCTTCAGATTAGCAGCCTGATTTGTAACCACTACACTCCCTGAGATCCTTATAGTATATATAATGACCCTGTATATATGTATATAACAACCTTGCGGTTAGTTGCTGCTGTTGCCTGTCATCGATTAGTTTCCAACTCACAGTGTTTCCAAGGCTGTAAATCTTAAAGGGCACAGAAAGTTTCATCTTTCTCCAGCAGAGTGACTTTTAGATTTGAACTATTGTCATTGCAGTTAGCAACCAATTTAGTTAGTAGTCTAGTGGTTATCCTACAGTGCCACACTATTGTACAGTAAAGAGAAAGTAATAACAATTTTGGTGTAGTCCTGTTCATGTCTAAATCACTAATTCCTTTTAAGGTCACTAGTGATTCTGATTGTCTTCTTTCTGGCCATTCAACACATCTCCAAGTTTCTTCAGTACAGCATCCTCCTCCCACCTCTCTCAGCTCATTGCATATGTCACTTTTCCTTGGCACTTTCCTGACCTGAGACAAGTTCAAGTTCTCTCCCAGGTGTTAAACTCCTAGTGCTGTGGACATGTTCTCCTTAGCATTTAACACAGTTCTAATTAGTTATTTGACAGGAATAAAATCATGAATATGCATGAGACCTTAGGATTTTTCCTTCTTTGCTCACCTACTCCCTTGGGCCTTCCTTTGTGTTGATTTTAGCAATACATGAAATGCCATTGAACAAGTGAAACTATAGGTGATTGTGGCCATAGGATAAGAGAGTAAAAGAAAATGAGAACATGAATTGTAAAGTAAATTGGGTATAATTGATTTTAATGGTAAAAATTAAGCTCTTGTGGTGCAATTGTTAAGTACTTGGCTGGTAATTAAAAGTTGATGATGTGAACTCATCTAGCTCCTCCAGAAAAAGATCTGGAGATGTATTTTACCATGAAGATCATAGCTTAGAAAAGCTTACTAGGAAATTCTGCTCACTAACATAAGGAGCTCTGGTAGCGTAGTGGTTACGAATCGGGCTGCGAACCTTAAGGTCAGTGGTTCGAAACTACTAGCCGCTCCGTGGGAGAAAGATGAGACTTTCTACTCCCGTAAGGATTTACACCCTCGGAAACCCTGTACAGGGTCGCTATGGGTAGGAACCGACTCGACGGCACTTAACAACAACAACAACATAAGGTCACTATGAGTCCGAATCAACTTGAAGGCATCTAACAACAAAAGCAAAAATAAAATGTACATACATACAAGTCCCTGATACTACTTTTGTAGTTTTGAAACATCTCCACACAATACTAAAATGTAAATATGCCTGAGAACATGCAGTCAATAATGGGCCACAGAAATTCATTTGAAGGCAATAAATATTAATCAATAATCTCCAAAGCTCAGAGGAATGAGGACCCTTGCTGCCTTCAAGTTGACTCCCAACTCATGGTGACCTTACACACTCAAAGTGAAGAGCTACCTGACCCTGTGCCACCCCCATGAGAAACTAAGCAAAGACCTTTATGATCCATAGGGTTTTCATTTGTTGATTTTCAGAAATACATTGCTAGGCATTTTCTCCTAGTCTATATTTTCTGGATGCATTTCTGTAACCTGCCCAGTATCAGAGTCACACAAGCCTGGTAGCGGCTCCCTATGTGTGCATTAGCCAGGAATTGAACCCCAGCCTCCTACAAAAAAAGCCAATAATTCGACCACTGTATCACCAATGCCTCATTTTGCATTTTTGTTGTTGTGAGGTGTCACCAAGTCAATTCCAATTCACAGTGACCCTATGCACAACAGAATGAAACATTGCCTGGGCTTGCTGTATTCTCAAAATTGTTACAACTGACCACTTTGCTGTTGTAACTGTGTCAATCCATCTCACTGGGGG